GAAGAGTGGGGCGGGTTATCGATAATTGGTCATTTCAAGAATCCCCTAGAACTCTTCAAATTTTTTTATGGATTAATTTATTTTAATTATGGATTAATTTGAAAATAATGAAATTCTAAGTCAAGGCGAACTGCACATGAATCATGTTGGCGTTGTGTGCTTAAAGTCTCAGCCATTCTAAGTTAAAATGTCAAAATGTTATTTTTTTAATGGTTGTATGGGTTGAACTAGGTATCAGGTGTGGATGGTGCGGGTTGCACCGGGTGCGGTTTATGCGGGTTGCGTTAGGCAAAGATGTGGCTAAACGACATAACTTGTATCATTTTTTTTCCTTTAATTAGAAGGGATATTTTGTTATTTTCTGCCAAGTGCTGACCTAGAATTACATAGCGTGTAATAATATGCATATGTAATTAATCTGCTAATTAACTCAGTGCGTTGTTGTGTGCATTAAGCGCTACACTTTAAAATATTTCGTTCTATGGAACATAACTCCTGGAATAACGGGACTAGAAATTCTGACAATTTAATTACAGACCAACATCAACGAATAATGTATGCGATGACGGATGACGTAGTTAACACTCTGGCCATATAAAGGCTATGTTAGGTCCCACAAAACATCCCATAATACCTTTGTATGGCCGATGTGTGTGAAGGGCCCACGGCCGTAATGACCCAAAAAATTGACCCGGAGAAAGCCATAAAAAAACCCAGGTGCTTTCTCTTACCGATACAACGCCAGCTGTTTCCTCCCACTGATAAAACTCAATCTTGAAGGTGTGTGTCGGACTTGTGTCTGCTGGGGGTGGGGGAGGGGAAGGTTTGGGGGGGGAGGGGGGTGGTGAGTATAGGTAAACACGGATGGTCAAAATGGCGCCAGACTGTAGGTAAAATACTGGGCGTCCAGCATTGCAGGGAATAAAGGTGGATGCGTGATGACATTCTCTGTGAGTCTGTTTACTTCAGGTAGTTGTGTGTGAGGCTTGTGGGGGTGTGGGTTTTAGTAATGTGCGGGATGGGGGTGGGGAGGGTGGGGGCCAATGGTCTTGATTGCGGTTTTTATGTTTTGTTTTGCAGTGAGATTGGTCTTGTATACGAGGCTTGCGCGCTTGTGTATATTGGTGTGTGTGTGTGTTGGTGTGTGGGTCTTGAGTGTGTGGGTATTGGTGGTTTGTGGGTCTTGGGTTTGGGTCTTTTGTAATGGCTGTCAACATCAGAAATCTTAACTTTGTAATTCAATTATATCGGTTAAGTTACCAGCATTAAACTTAACTCCCAGACATAAGCTCCAACTTCCACACAGATGTAAGCTAAGTCTCCGGTATAAAGGAAGGCTTTCTTAAAAATCTACATTTGAATTCCCTAATTAGTTTTCTAGCAAGTACTTTTGACACCGATATTAAACATTTTAAGTCTGTTGTCATCTAGATTTTTTTAAGCCGGAATTAAAATCGATTTCAAATTATCAATTAGGTTCTGAAGTCACAAACATATTAACAGCCATCGATCAAAATGTTCTAAGCTGCTGAGCTCAACTGATCGGTTATTGATCTTCTACACATCAAGCGAATAAATCGATCACCAGACATTCCGACAGAGGATAGAGTTTTACCACGCGAGGTCATGATTTGCGTATGCAGGGTTCGAATCCCGGAAATGACATCATGTAAAGATCACAACCCGATAGAAGACATGCCTTAGGCTACGACTAGTAAAGACACCTCTACATCGCTCAACTATAATCTCCTTGACAATTTCCGCCAAGAACGATAATCAACTAAAGGGCAGTAAGTGAGGGTAAAGGATTGTCAGCATACCAGAGCAGAGCATGTAAGTGGTATCATCTCGTAGAGGGCAGGTATAGCCAGGCATGTATGCAGCACAGGTGTGAGCATTTCTCAATTAGTAAATGACGAAGACGATGACCTTCACCTTTTAAACTCAATAATGCCAAAAAAAACTAGCATTGTAAGCTCTTTTTTTTTTTTTTTTTAAATATAAATTTTTTAAATATTTAAAGTTTATTATCATTTGTAAAAGTATTTTTTAATGTAGTCGTAACATGATCATTTATTTCAATTCCACTACAATCAGATGAAATGCTCAGAGCTAAAGACATTTTTGGGCCTGAGATTTTAAGTTCGAGGTAAATGTGTAGTCAGCAGTGCCGACTATTATCTCACAACAAACTCAGTCTTGTTTTTTTGTTAATATTTCTCAGAGACTATATACAAATTCGGGAACGGCGTAGTCGAATGGTAGAGCGTTTGACTCCTTGCACGAAGTTCTCGAGTTCGGATCTCGACTCGTATTTGTGACTGTAGGACATTCCTGAGTCCACCCAGCTGTGATGAGTACCTGGATCATATTACGTCAAATTAAAGTCGACGGGTCATAGTGCTGCCCACACCATCCCTTCATAAGTCGAGGTCAAGAAACACATAAACTCTACTTCATCTGCCCTATGGTTCTTTAAGTCTTAAGAGAAGTATACTTTCAGCGTAAACTTAGTGCAGCATAGAGTGGTACTGGTACATTTCACAGTGATAGCTCGGTATGTTAATCATTACAGTTTGACGGATTGATTGCTTGATTGACGGGAAAGGTTCCCTGTGTGCTATTTAAAAAAAAACAATTGCTCTCACGAAATTGGCACCGTTTTTGCATTCATCAAATTTTTCCTGGAGTAACAACTAAAATACCAGGTCAAAAAAACTTCCCTAAATACCATTCGAGACTCCATCGACCATACCTGCCCCTCCCCCCTCCCACCCCCATCGACCATGCATGCCCCTCCCCATCGACCTTTTACTGTTGCTCGAGTTCCGATGATGGAAGCACTATTTGCATAGTAAGGGGAGTCCTAGGTGTGAAAGGGGGGAGGGGGCGTCCACGGCTCCGCTTGCTATTTGGCCCCTCCATGGGCTGATATCCCCACCTACGTTTATTGCTACACGACGATCAAAGGTATCAGGTACAAGCGTGGGTGGACCAGGACAATCCCAGGCAATTCATTTACGCTGGGTAGGGTTTATATATATTTATATATATATATATATATATATATATATATATATATATGTATATATATATATATATATATATATATATATATATATATATCGATAGTTTGCTAATTATACTTTTGGCTAATCCAGTACCTTAACTGCTGACGCAGCAAACTAATGTTTACCTGTCACACTATGGTGTGTGTGTGTGTGTGTGTGTGGTGTGTGTGTGTGTGGAGGGGTGTTGAGGGAGGGGAAGGGGTCATCCATATATTTGATACATTTCTCCCTCTCAGGGCAGGATTGAGTATATATTTTAGCAGCAGAAATAATCCTGGACTACGAGCTAACGACATCGCATCTTTTTTATTTCAGCAAAAAAAAAAATATCCAACCATCGTCCTCAGCCCCCCTCCCCCCACCCCACACCCGTACCAGTGAGGATATCTGACAGATATTTGGACGATCAATAAATCGACCGTTAAAAGCCCCAGTGACGTCATCCAGAGCCGCTTTGTCTCCAGTTAAAAAAAAACCCGTTAAGGTGAAAACGTCAATAAATTTTGTGGAACTTTAGTCTAGGACTAAAAGCCCTAGGGACCGACGTCTTAACGGTACTATTGTTGAGACTGGCTTTGTGCAATTTCTTTATTTGCTGTTTTGCTACTTTCTCCTCCAACCTCCCTCCCCACCCACCGTCATGCATCCCCCCAACAACAACAAACAACCTACTCAACAAAAGCTAGCCCAGGAGAACCTACTCACCTCGCGCCCCATTATGGAATCTGATGTTGTCTTTAAGTTCTAATTACTCCGCGATTTGGAACTGGATACCCCCCCCCCCCCCCCCATTCTGTGAATGGCAAACAAAGAGCCTCCTCTTTTTAAAAATGTATAGTCAAAAGCTGACAAGCCCTGTACGTTTTGAACTGATGATTTCATTGGTCGAAAAGCCGGAAACCTACCTGAAACGGAGGTTTTAATTGGATGAAACTTAAGATCAAATGCTGTTAATGTGAAAATGCTTTGAACTGACAACGGTCTCTGGGATATGGAACTTTATTCCTGATAGGAGATATCTGCAGATTAAGACATGTGGTCGTAACGTGTCTGAGGGGGATGGGGGGGGGGGGGGGGAATTGCCCTAGGTATTGAAGTTTCTCGGATTCAAATTGAGATTAATTTAAGGTTAGACTCGGGAAATGATTGCTGGACTTTGATGCCGCGTTTTTGCAGAAAGCTTTTAATGAAAATATTTCAACATGGTCTTCAAGAGAATACAAATTGGGGGAAAGTCGTGGAATAAACAATTTGTCGCCATTTTGAAAGCGTATTTAGATTGCTTTAGCTTTTTTGAATAAATAAAAATGGCATCATTATTTTTATGTCAAAGCGAGGGTGAACTGACCCTTGACATCACAATTTAAAAAATTAAATTTTGGCTTATGTTTTACAATTAAGTAGTTTAATCGTGTTTGGCTTAAGGGGAGGCACATGTGTCGTCACAGAAAGGTCAAAGTTCATCCCAAACCACAATCAAACGGACTCAAGACGTAGGGTACTCATTCAATTTTTCCACCTACCTAGGTTATGGTCTTGTATCATTTGATTTGTGGCAATAGAAATTATAACATATCTACAGAGCCTTTTGCCTTCAGATATTGAGTATTCCACTTACGTTCTAAAGAGCCGTTCATTTAGAAAAATCTGCTGTCCTCTCTATATCTCTCTCTTTCTACCACGAAACTCCATCCCATGATCTTTTTCTCTTTCTCCCATACCTCCGTCCCTCTCTACCCCGACACCCTCTCTTTCCCCCCACAGAAATCCGCCCTACTCTACCCCCACACCCTCTCAACCCCCCACACCCTCCCTTGCTTGAATATTATACCAGTTACCTTGGAACTACCAACCATTGGACCAGCCCACCACACAGAAACTACCTTGGAACTACCAACCATTGGACCAGCCCACCACACAGAAACTACCATGGAACTACCAACCATTGGACCAGCTCACCACACAGAAACTACCATGGAACTACCAACCATTGGACCAGCCCACCACACAGAAACTACCTTGGAACTACCAACCATAGGACCAGCCCACCACACAGAAACTACCTTGGAACTACCAACCATTGGACCAGCCCACCACACAGAAACTACCTTGGAACTACCAACCATTGGACCAGCCCACCACACAGAAACTACCTTGGAACTACCAACCATTGGACCAGCCCACCACACAGAAACTACCTTGGAACTACCAACCCTTGGACCAGCCCACCACACAGAAACTACCTTGGAACTACCAACCATTGGACCAGCCCACCACACAGAAACTACCTTGGAACTACCAACCATTGGACCAGCCCACCACACAGAAACTACCTTGGAACTACCAACCATTGGACCAGCCCACCACACAGAAACTACCTTGGAACTACCAACCATTGGACCAGCCCACCACACAGAAACTACCTTGGAACTACCAACCATTGGACCAGCCCACCACACAGAAACTACCTTGGAACTACCAACCATTGGACCAGCCCACCACACAGAAACTACCTTGGAACTACCAACCATTGGACCAGCCCACCACACAGAAACTACCTTGGAACTACCAACCATTGGACCAGCCCACCACACAGAAACTACCTTGGAACTACCAACCATAGGACCAGCCCACCACACAGAAACTACCTTGGAACTACCAACCATTGGACCAGCCCACCACACAGAAACTACCATGGAACTACCAACCATTGGACTATCCCACCACGAGAGTGGGAGAACACCTGTTCCAGACAGGACACCTATCAGTACACTGGCACTGACCCGATAACCCCCAGAAATCCTGGCACTCTCAGGAATCCTACCCCACCAACCCCCTTCCCATTTAGCCTCGCGAGACTTGACATATCTACCCCAGTTCATCAAGTTTCGTTGATCAGATTTCCCATGTCAAAAACCCATCATCAAATTTCTCCAGGCGGATATAATTATAATTAACGAAGCTTTTTTATTTTAAAGTCCCGTTTTTTGTTCAAAATTAATCGACTTGTAATTAAGGAAGGAATTTAAAATCAGATAATTAAATATCAAGAAATGGTAATCAAGTTTCCATCGCTGATTCAGCAATGTGTTTCAACATCACTAGACGTTATCAGATTCCGGTCATTAGGATTGATGATTAAATATCGCTAGACAATACTGATGCTTTTAGCATTTCATATAAGGGTAAAAATGTATTGCTTTGAGATAAGGATTGCGCCATATATATATATATATATATATATATATATATATATATATATATATATATATATATATATATATATATATATATATATAAACATATAAATATATACATATATACATATTCACACACACACATATATATATATATATACATATATATATATATATATATACATATATATATATATATATATATATATACATATATATATATATATATATATGTATATATATATATATATATATATATATATATATATACATATATATATATATATATATATATATATACATATATATATATATATATATATATATATATATATATATATATATATATATATATATATACAAATATATATGTATACGATACATCTATAATATAAGCGGGCTGAGCGTGTGTCAGTCCTTCCTTCCTTCCTTCCTTCCTTCCTTCCTTCTGTCATCGCTATAGCTTTTGGAACCATAAAAGTAAACATTCGCACCATGCTGTGCTTTTCAGTGCACCGCAGTGTCTTATTATAATTATTAGAGTAGGGTTTGTTTATATAGCGGCATAGAGCTATTTTATAATTGCCACGGTTTTTACTCTTTCGCATAACGTCAAGAAAATATTAAATACACGCAAACTGCTAAAACGTATTAAAAAGATTAATGTCAAATATCATTTTCGTTTAGGTTCCCAGAAAAAGTGGATACATTTTAATAACATAATAACAGTAGGGTAGAAAAATCAAATTAATTTAACTCTTTTCAAATTTTGACAAAGGAGGTAATTTAAAAATACATTAAACTCACGCTAATAATAAACCGGTAGTGATCTCCCCTAAACTTTCTCGAATATTCTTATATAAAACAACAGGGGATGGTAACTGGGGATATAGTTATGATTTTTAATCCATTTTAAATACTTAAACTTTTAAAAATAGAATAGAATCTCATAAAAAAAACATTGCGCACCAAGCAAACGCCGAATAAAAACGCGTATAATAGTGCGCAATATTATTAGTACTTTAAAAATTTACATTAGTTTTTTGAGAAATCGGAAGTAGCGTAAATTACTACTTCCAGTCAACGGAAATTACTCAAAATTTAACAGAAGGTAGAGAATTAGATCTTTTACTTACATGTGAAATTTCATTTATCTATCTGAAATAGTACTCAAGTTATAGGCTTTTGAAAAATTCAAAGTAGGAAAAGTACCACTTCCGGTTATCGGAAATCGCTCAAAAGTTGATACGGATCTACGATTTTGATAAAATACTTATATATGAAATTTCATCAACCTAGCTGTAACGGTACTCAAGTTATCGTGTTTACACACGGACAGACACACAGACACACACACACACAGACATACGGACAAGATTGCAAAATTATGTTTTTCCGTATCAGTGAGGTGTAAAACGTCGAGATTTGTAAAAATCTCGATTTTTTTTTTTTGCACGATTACAATACTTTCTCTATACTACGTATATACGAGAAAGTAAAAAATGCAAATATACGTTCGTCATAGAAGGAATTAGTGTTGCAATAATATAATTAGCAAAATGTGAATGCAAATTATTCGGATGTGTAAGAGGAAATTATTGTTAGAAAATTATAATTAGCATGGATTGATAAAAAGCAATTATTTTATTTATTTTATTCACTGAATGTAGGCCCTACTGTTTATTACTTATAATTTTTAATCAACTACTCAGCTCTATTATAGACGCGTCATCACGTTCATTAGGTACGCAATGGTTTTAGTTATGAAACGGATGGAAAGGGCGCGATTTTGGCGCTACGGGCTAGACTGTGAGCAATATGCCTTTATGATTGCATTTAAATTGTGTTTATGTTATGAGTGTTGTGTTTGTTTTTTCGTTTGTTTTTTGTTTTTTTTTTGCGTTCGTTTGTGTTGTGTTTAGTTTTGTTCTGTTGGTACATTTAAAAAAGATTTACCGTGGCGGAGCACGGGATGCAGCTAGTATATATATAAGGTGACAAGACAAATTATCTGAGGGTAAATGATATCTGACAAAATATCCCAGACAAAATAAACTAATGACAAACTATCTCAGAACAAATGATCTCAAGAAAAAATGTCTTAGATAAAGTATCTCAGATAAAATATCACCAGCCAAATAACTTTAGGATTTAGGATTTTTTAAAAACTAAGTAACACGCAAATGTTTTTCTTATTACATTAAACGTTATTTAATTGTTATAAGTAGGATAATCCCATTAGGATAAGAGTATAATCCGAACATGAGCAATCTTAACACATAAGGTGGAAAGGAAATGGAATTGCACATCTGTTGATATATATCTATCGGCAATTTACACATACCTACATAGCTTAGCTACTAAACTGAAACCCTATTGTAACCATGACAACCAAAATTTTCCTCCAATTTTACCACGCACACCAAAACCACCTCTTCCCGACTAAGTTTAAAGTATCCTTTGTTTTTCACGTCTCCCTGTAAATACGATGTTTCCTTGCAGATATCGTAGTATTGTCAATTAGCTGTCTTAATTAGTGTCCGTGTTAAACTAATCAGTTGAGACTTTAAAGTGGCCGAGGGTTGTTTGAAAAGTAGCAGAAAGTGAAATATTACACCGTCAGAATATTGCGTTACACTGTCAATTTACAGACTTTCCACCATGAGACTATTGCCTTAGTCTGTCAATATACAGACTTTCCACCAATAGACTATTGTGTTACACTGTCAACATAGAGACGTTCCACCAATAGACTATTGCGTTACACTGTCAACATAGAGACGTTCCACCAATAGACTATTGCGTTACACTGTCAACATAGAGACGTTCCACAAATAGACTATTGCGTTACACTGTCAACATAGAGACGTTCCACCAATAGACTATTGCGTTACACTGTCAACATAGAGACGTTCCACCAATAGACTATTGCGTTACACTGTCAACATAGAGACGTTCCACAAATAGACTATTGCGTTACACTGTCAACATAGAGACGTTCCACCAATAGACTATTGCGTTACACTGTCAACATAGAGACGTTCCACCAATAGACTATTGCGTTACACTGTCAACATAGAGACTTGTGCGTTTCAGATATTTCTTTTAGTGACAGTTTTTGGTTTTTGTGACGCTGTTAAAGTGGGCTTAATTGTTTTTTTTTTTAATTAAAAGGATCCGGTTTTTTTTTAAATCTCTATTAGAACCAAGAGTTCTGTACAGAAAATAACTTTAAGAACAAACTATATATACGGTTTTTTATAATTAAAAAAAAAAATTTTCTAATTATACATTATTCCTCTTCTTCGTTCTTCACGGTAAAACAGCAGATTTCCTTCCACAGACCTAAGTATAGCGTGTCAACATGTTATGCGCTGTATAGCCAGTTGAAGCCGACTTCACCCTGCATTTTTCCTAGATTTGCTTCCATTTGTCCGCCAAAGAGCAATCTGAAAGGCAGCAGTTGTTTGATTTTGGAATTTTCTCGCCAAGATGGGTTGCTGCCCCTAGCTATAGAGCCTCATCTGCCCGGTACATCAATTTAATTTTTTTTTTAATATTTGTATCTATTTTGTTCAGCATTACGATAACTTGGCATTTAAAAGTTAAAAACTACATAATTAAATTTATTCAGATCTTTTTAATCGTCACCGCGTGACGGAACAGAGGTTTATTTTTAAACGTGTGTATTTCTGAAACTCTGCTCACTGTAACGGCAGCTGACCGGTATCCATTTAACTTCAAATGTCGGGGGTGATCTTGGTGGAAAGGTCTTCAAATTTAAAATATTTTAACGAAACTAAATTATAATTTTAAAATATTTTAACGAAACGAAATTAAAATTTTTAATATGTACCCCAGCAACAACACACTGTGTATGCCAAGAAATTGATGAGCTATGGCTGTAGAATGCAGAGGTACGACATTGTGTACAAGTCAGGGAGAGTGGTAATTTTAAAATTTTAACAGGTGTCTCATTAACCATGTGACGTCGTCTCACACATAAAGTTCATATGTTCTACATGAACATTTTTTTTTATCTAACATGAACAACTCTCAGACAGAAAAAAAAAAAAAATGATTGAAAGGCCACCGATAGCTAATCAGTTCGAAGCCCGGCTGACCAGATCGAATCTTGTCCAGTTGACCTAATCGATGACGTGAGTGCCCTAAGTTCACGTGACGTCAGCAATTGATTGGGTGAGGTAACAATTAAATGCCCGTCACTAAAGCACTCAGTATTTGACTAGATGATTTAAAACTTAAATGCCCGTAAGTTTACTAAATGATCTCAGCATTTGGTTGCGTTAACAATTAAATGCCTGTCAGTTTACTAAATGCATTCAGTATTTGGTTGAGGTAACAATTAAATGCCCGTAAGTTTACTAAATGCACTCAGTATTTGATTAAGTGATTTTCATAATTAAATGCCCGTCAGTTTAATAAATGTACTCATTGTCTGATTATAGTTAATGTATGTGCAATTAGGTGTAATCAAACAAAGCACTTTGATAAATTTAGGCGAGCAAGAAAGTTGACTAGGGTCAGTTTATCTTTGAACGGGGGTAAAAATAAACTGTGACTCTGGGGCTA